TTAATCATTTTTCTCACTCGTATGTCTAGTAAAAAAGGTCACATTTTTTAAACAAGTCTATTTTTAAAAATATAGATATGAAATGATAAAGAGCAGCAAGTAAAGAGACAGTATGTTTAGCATAGCATAGCCTAATATTACTTACCCTCCCCCCGTTCTCCTAAAATAAATAAAAAACACCTTGAAAAAAAATAATTCAAACTCATTAACATTTGTGAAATTATTTTGTATGAGTCTGGCAGCAATGCTATCTCTTACCTGGATAAATAAGTGTTGTTTTTGATATCAGTTTACCAAAATAAAAAAGGAATAAACCAAACTCACACTTCAATTTCCATTCGGTTATCTCTTAACATTAAGGTTTTACAGTTAAAACAAGGTAATCTTTTCTGAAATAAAAAGCTTAAATAATTAACATTCTGTGATTTTAGTTTCTGTTTCAGAACCATAATTATTTTACAACCTCTTTATTCTAAAACATGTGCAAAGGACAAAGATTGAGTTCCATATTGTAATTGTATTGTCTTGGTTAATTTTCTGACACCTAGCCTGCTTAGTGTTATCTAAAACATGTTATGTTTGGTTTTTAATCCAATAAGCAATTCTAAAAAAAAAAATGTTCAAGGAATGTGAGTATTACTTTGCATTAACAGAATGGACATAAAGCAGAATGCTTTTAACAGAAATAGACCTTGGTGAGGATTTTCTAAATTAGTATTAGCTCTGATATTGTTCAACAGTTTTTTTCTGAATTTATTAGCTTCTAAAATGCTGCTTTGAGTGCAGCTTAGTTTAAAGGTCATCATTTGGCTTAAATCGGGCTTTTTTTCTTTTTTAAATTAATATTCTATCATGTAAAACCTGGGACCATATCTAACATCATTTTCTTTGTATCTAATTTCTGGTCATATCACTGCTTTTAACCAATCAATACATTTTTTATATATTTCTTTAACAACATCCACAGTAGCTTTGGCCGATGTTAAAGATTATTGTCCTATTGGAAAGAGAAACTCCACTGAGAAAATAACCATAAATAATCAATTAATCAAACTGAAGTTTTTAATGTTGAAAAGATTTGTAAAGGTTACAGGTATACTTACTTTCAGAGGTCACAGTAAAAATCATGTCCTGCAGTTTTATGCTGCATGGGGTGTGTTGGCCTAAAGGGTTAGAGCTGTACGCTTGTGCTATGAGAAGGTTGCAAGTACCCGGCTTTGGGTACCTCAGGAATCCAAAGCCTCCACTATGGGTTCCTGAGTAAAACCCTCAACCCCACACTAATCCCAGGATCCACACAATGGCAGCCAAGGGGATGGGTGCAGAAAAAGGGAGGGAATTTCCCCACTGTGGGACAATAAAGGGTTATATGTTTTTTACATTAAGCTGTGAACATTGAAGAAATAAAAATGAAATGTTTCATACTCAAAAGTGTTTTGCAATTGTAAAACGGGAAATTATTAAACGCACTGATGTTTATTTTCTTATTAATTAATTAATTTAGACAATTGATAAAATATCTCTTTGAAACAAGAAAGATAAAGAAAACTCAGGTTTTCCTTAGAGCTGCATGTTTCTCTACAGACATTCCTTCTCAGTCTGGTGGCATATTTTCAATCATTATTAAAGTGTTGACAGCTTGAGGCTTGAAGGCTTTAACCTCTGCTACTTTTGGTGTTTGATAAAAGGCGAAGCCACTATCAATCTTTATTGTCTGGCCTGCGCACTGTAATTGCATTCAATAGTCCACTGATTCCCTTGTCTGCACTAATGTTGGGGACCAAAGGGGAGCCACATGCTTTGACTGCAGCAAACACACACGACAAACCACCCCAATGCAGATAGAAACTCAGATGTTCAGATGCAGAGGTCAAGCTTTTATTGTGGAAAGAAATCGAGGGAGGTTGTGAAGACTGTTAAATGCAAAAAAGAATATGCAGAGTAACACAGAGAGTGGGGAGCACTCGGGCCCTACTTGATAAATTGTTGACAGTGTAGATTGTGAGCAGCTGTGCGGCCAATGAAGAGGATTCATTGTCTGGTCAGATTGTTTATTTGATGGCTGTTGAGAGTGTGTGTGAGCGATGGTGATGTCACCATCAGGGAAGGGCACATATTAAAATTCAAATTTAAGCAACCCTAAGGAGGGAGGCAGAAAAGATAGGAGGAGCAGGAAAGCTGGAGGAGTGCCAAAGTCTTGATTGGATCTGAGCGAATAGCAAGGAGTCTGACGGAAAGGGAAGAGGGTGGAGGAACCTGGAGAGAGACAGCCGGCATGAAGGGGGGGAAAAAAGTGTGGGTGTGTTGTTTTAATATCGTCCTGTAGCACCTCAAGCACATCCTAATGAAATCCAACGGCGGGCTTTTCCGTTGTAATTTTCCATCCCCCGTTGGAGTTTACCGGATTATGAAGTGCGTTTGAGAGCTTCTTTTCTCTCTCTCTCTTTTTTTTATGTGTGTGTGTGTTTGAGCTGTTTTGATTACATATCAACCATCTTCACTGGGAAACCTGCAGTGCATTTTGCAGAGCTTCACACTGTGGACGGCCGCGATAAGACAGACATGCCAGGCAGGTAATAGATTTGGGCTCATAGTCATATCCATGTGGAGCACACAAAGCCAAAAACCCTGTGGATCAAGCCAGATAAAAAGCAGCCATTTGATATTGGTTATTCCATTACTGTTCCCAAACTATTGGTTGATAGATTTCTAAGTATGTCCCAACCAGAAGTCTTTTTTTATTGATCAGGGTTGCAGAGATAACCTCTCTTATTTTACATTAGCCACAACATTACATGTAATGTAATGGAATTAGCTCGTGGCTAATTAGATCTAAATAATTATGTTCCTGATTAAATACACACACACAGCATATTTTCCTATGCATAAAAAAAAATACACGTTCATGTGGTGATTAGTGTTGAAGAAAGCAGGCATAAACTGTACTGCGACCTTTGGCAAAATAACTTGGGAAGAATTTCAAGAGTTTCAAGAATTAAATTGCGTCTTTTAAATGTATTATTGCATTAAGTCAAATAACCTGCATGAAAATGTCAACCTTTAGAATAAGTACAATAAATGGCTTTGAAATTTTTGCTTTTTTATCAACAAAAAAAATAAATAAATGTATGAGGGACACAAATATCTTGAAGCAAAAGACTTGTACGATATCTCTTGCTTGTAAAAGAAAAAGAAAGTGTTTCTTTAAATACCATGGAAAGTACTTCTTAATTGTTTGAATTCTATTGTATTTGAATAATACAGTTTTACTGTTTTTATTCTTTTATTTTGTTACAATATACTGTATTTCTAAAAGCGAACCACCCCCCCCAAAGATTTCATGTGTAATTACATAACATGTTGAATTATCTGGCAAAGCAAAGCTTTTAATCCTTATTTATTTTTAACTTGATAATAATAAAAAGAATATCAGAACTGTTTTAATAAGGTATTCCTGATGTATATATCCTACAACTAAGAAACACAGTGGTGTTTACTTTTATTCTGTAATTTGACTCTAGAACATGATTTAGCAACATCAGCATTAGATTTAAATATCTAATAACCTATTTGGAAATTTTGAAAAATGTAAAAAAAAACTTTTAAAAGTGAGCGTACATTTGTTGATTATTTTTAGGTTACTGAGTTCCTGATTTACATTTGCTGCTACTCTTATGTTTCTCTGTCCTACTTGATCAAGGTCAGTTTACTAATGTCATTGTAAAGCTAAATTGAAATGTTCAGAACTGTGGCTCTGTCTCCCAACTATTAACAGTAAGAAAAAAAAACTCCACAGCATGATTACTAAATAGTCGTCATAACTATGTGTGTATCTGTGTGCATTAATGTAAAATTGTGACCATTCAATTCTATGTCCGCTGTTCCTAATGATGTCTGTGTCCACGGCTTCTTTATGCATGCTTTTATGTGTGTGCATACATTTGCATGATACACGCATACACTCAGTGTCAGCGGAGCTTGCAGCTTACACACTGCATTCAGTAATACATTGCTGAATATCAAAGGAAATTACCCTTCACCTCAGTGCATGGATCTTAGCGAGTTCCTTAACCAGAGGAATGGGCTTTGAACCAGGCAGATTCCCCCAGGGTCTGTATCCCGGCCCCTCCCCGGAACGCCACGCCGGATAAGGCCCGTAATTCCCACTTTTAGGTTTCCATTAATCTGATCCTGACACAGGGGAGACGGGCTGCTTTGCATATCGCCTCCCCAAGATGGAGGGCTATTTACATGATCGCCTCCAGATTGAATATGATCAGTTGCCCTCCTCCTCTTCCTCCGTCGTCATCTGGAGCTGGGGTGTTTGGGGGGGTAGAAAAAAAATCTGGATTTTTTTTTTCAGCTTGTATTTGCTGCATTATCATGGATGAAATATTATTCACTCAGGTATATTCACCATAGCATTTAAATATGTCTCAAGTAAGACTTGATGGATACATGTTGCCTATATTATGAGTTCCCTTGACGAACAGAATTTTTTTCTCTTCTTTTTTTATGAACGTGACAGCAAAGATGGAAAGATCGACCCATTTATCATTGCTCACAGATAGTGCTAATGTGAGGAGAACTACACTGGCACCCTCACCCACCTCACCCCTCTCCCAACAAATGTGAGGAACACCAGTGAACAGTCCTCCATTAGAAACCATGAAGGCAAACCCCCATGTAAATGCATCTGTAATGAACGGCGCGTACAGGAGGTGCATTATTCTCTTTCTGCTACATTTATTCCTGAATATCAAATGAATATGATAAATGTGGAGCGAGGAGGCGGCTTTGAGGGGACAGAGCGGGGAAGGGGGAGCAAAGTAAGCTGAGGATATGAGATGAGTGATATTGTTATTACACCGCCACCAATGAGCAGCAGAAGTTGAGACGGTTTGAGGCACACATCCCCAGCTGATACGTCCATCACTACCTGTCCCTTCAGCTGCTTTCATTTCAGTTTTGTTTTTTCTTTTTCATTTGGTTTTATTCAGCAGGTCAAGCAGTGACACAATTCCACGCCAATGTGAGTCGCAGTTGTGAGCCAGTACACAGAGAGTCAACAACGACGGGATGGCGACCGAAAAAAAGCAAAGAAACAAGCCCCTGCTCTAACTGTGGCTGTAAAGCATTGGTAAGGAATTTTAACAGGATGTACTTTATTTTGCTTAACTTATTTCAACCTTTTTTTGTCTGTTACAATCCCACCTCACCTGATTAGATTTTTTTTTTTTTTTTAGCTTGTGAGATGCTTCAAATAGGACACGGTCACTCCCGTGATCGCTCCTTATAAACAACACAATAGAAATCAACTGTGCGTCCTTACTCACTTTGTCTCAGGCTGTTTCCAGAGCTGAGGAAGGCCTCCCAGCTAACCACCCACCCACCCCCCCTTCCCTAAGTGCATTTCATGCTTTTAATTGACACCGCCGCATGTTAATTTGAAGCATGTCACGGATGTGTCACACCCGTAAGCCGCCAGTGTCCGACCTCATGTAATGTCGAATTACACTCCTGCTGCTCATCGCCGTGACAATAGATAAGCTTCTCCTAGGCAACGGCAAACGGTTCAAAGAGTCATGTGTAACTGAGGTAGTTTCTTATTTTTGTCTGCTGCCTGCATCCTTCCCCCACATCCAGGTTATGACACACCTGACAAAGCTGTAAAGATTATACTGTAGCGGTTCAATTTTTAGCTAGTTGGAATTAAAACAACACTAAGAGGACAGTGAAAGGGTGACTTTGGTATATTCAAAACCTAAGAGACTACACCGAAATGGTGCATTTCAGGCTTACAACAACAACAAACATAAACAAAAGTACATTTTTAGAGGAAAAAAAGGCTAGACCCAAATGATTCCCAAAGTGGAAAAGCCTGATTGAAAAAGAGTTTAAACAAGTTTTTTTTTAAAACCTTGTAGGCCTATTTTTTAAAATAAAATAAACATTATATAATTTTTTTCTATGTTTTATTACTTTTTAAATGGCAGGTCAGTTAGAACAAAAAAGGAAACTTTTAACCGGCATCACGGCATTGAGATTTTATAATTGCTGGTTGGCGTTTTGCAGGTTTCCAATGTGATTTTGATGATTAATTTCTAATCATGAGCTCCAAAGCTTTGAGGCTGGAGACCCTCCATGCCGTTACACTAATCTTGACCTCCTGCTGTAGATTCTCTTAGAATCCAAGCAAAGGTTTGATAAGGTATTGACATAAAATTTGATGGGTCTAGACATGATGTTGAAGGAGAAATATCTGTATTTTAATGATGATTTTTATAGTGCAGTACTTGGAAGCAGTAACCTAAAACCCATCCTTTCTTTCGAAAGCCTTCATAAAGTAAGCCTAATCTTTGAAATCTCATTTAAAAAATTTCTGCATAGAGCCTTTGGAACGAAAATATAAACCACATTACAGTATATGTCTTTATTGACAATAATAGATAAAGGCTATACTTATAAGATAGATATTTTGATCTAAATTTGTTAAACTATCAGTATCACCTGTTTTAGTACTATTCTTTTTTTTTGTGCCCTAAAGGAACTAGGATTTGTAAGACACACATTACCTGGTTTTTACCTTTCAAGCAAGATAAATCATCATGAGATTTGTGAAGTCACAAACTTCCAAAAAATACATCTTGCTAGAAGCCAGCAGAGGCACTAGTCTCCATACAAAAATGTTTCGGACCAATCAAATGTACTTACGTGTATGACGTCAACCAGAGGCAGAAGGCTGACGAAAAACAAACATCACTGCGCCAGTTTTAACTATAATGCTATCTATTTCTTTTTTAAAAACAAGCAAAGGAAGGCAAATTTTGCCTTTGTGGATAAGGAGGTGTGTGCGCTTTCCCCTGACTGGATTCGGTGATAGTTTGATTGGTTAGTTAACTCTGCTAGCTGTGAATAAAATCAAGCTGCTACAGCCGCTTTGATTAGCTAAACACTTGACAAGGGAGGAAGATAACCCATCAGCTCGAATAATTGTACTAAATATCCCTCCCTTTAGTAAACACTTTCTACATGAGGCTTTCCAGATATGAATAGTTCAATTGGAATTCGACACAGTTTCAATCAGTTACAACTGCCTAAGAATCATGCAAACTTAGAAAAAAAAACAAAAAAAAAACATAAATTGAAACTAAAGCTCTTATCAAATATTTACACAAACTATTTACCCAATTTAAATCGTTCTGGTGATATGTTTACATAAGGCCATCCTACAGGCTTGTCCCGTTAGCTATGTTTTCTGCGCATGCGCACTTTCAGGCATATACGTGTGGTGAGCTACTGTTTCAGACAGTCACTGAAGCTCACCTTTTTTTCTTGTGGTTCTTTGAAAATGACTGAGGGTCCTAAGAGAAAAAGTATCAATGAAGTGTATGAGAAGAAAGGAAAGGCCTCAGAAGAGGCGGATATATTCTGGAATGCTTTGCACGGAGAGCTCTCCTCGCAAAGCATTATGGGATTTGCTGTCACAGTGGCCTGCTGTCGACACCCAACAGTGGCAACTAATACCATAGATTAGTGAAGGAGGAGTTATGTGACCAACGGGAGCAAAAAGTTGTGATCATCTTTTCACACGGTCAGTTAACTGAGTTCGCTATAAAGTCCACTAGTCCCTGCTCTATATAGTGATTGAGGGATTTGGGGGTTAGAGCTGAAATTCGGACACAGTAAGCTTATATGAGCTATGAGAACTGCAACTTTTAAACAACATGCATGAGGAGAAATTGGCTTGTGCATGCTCTCCACGCATTTAATAGGCGTTCCCTCTCGGGAGCGGGTACAGAGTTGTGCATGTGCATTTTTGTGTGGAGAGGACGGATTCTTCAAAGATTCTCAAAAATTCCTTCACAAATCCTTTAAGTTAGAATTAAATTTACAAACTTGACATCCACTGCATGTGTTTTGTTGTCACCAAGATAACTCTGGCAGATGAATATGTTGAAGACTGCCGATTAGATATTTGATATGTCTTTTTGAAGAATTTCTGAAATTCATATAAACTTGTCAGCTTGGCCAGGCTGGGGTTCACTCGGTATCAACAGGCTTGAGGTTGGGGCTTTCCAGAACCTTTATGCTAACCTACTTTATCTATTCTGATTACAGTTCTGATGTGTTTTTTGGAATTATTAGCTGTATCCAACTTTCAACTATGAAGGTGGTAAGTTATGCATCAAAGAAACTGAGGTTCTGGTAAAACTGAAAGACTGCCATAGCATAATGTTACTAAAACCATGCTTAAAAGTTGATACATTTATTTGACATTTTAAAGTTTGACCATTAGTCCTTCAAAAGTCCTAATTATAATTGTAGATAAACAGCCTAATCTTCTTTTCTGGCAGTAAACCTTTTCAGAAAGTACAGTAAGTGGATCATTCATGTGTGCAGCTCCAATTTTCAGTTGCCAGTTTGGGAGCAGGGAATGCTTATTAGATCTGTACTCTTTTAGTCCATGTTGTCATAGAATGGGCTAAATCTTTCCAGGTCATGGGTTCTTGAGTCTTTATTGTTCCTATGTTCCTATCTCCAGCACTTTTACAACAAGAGGCTGAGAACACCCTGGACAGGTTGACTTTCCATCACAGAATGACACACAACAAAAAAAACATGCATATTTCCATACATACCATGAGGATGTCTTAGAGACACAGATTAACCCAACGGTCATGTTTTAGAACTGACGAGGCCAGAGTACATGGAGAAAACCCACACATGCATGGTGAAAACATGCAAACTCCTGTTAGTATTAACACCAGGATCTAGAGTAGCGCTATCATCTCTATCAATATGCAGTTTATGTTCATCTTAAAGGAAAAGGTAAACTCTTCTTTCAGACTATGACAAAAATGTGATATCCTGGTAATTTGACTCTCAGTATAGTCATTTGAACTGATGATGTTGTAATAATTAGTTTAGGGAAGCCCTTCTTACTTGTTTAGTTTTTATGTAAATCCCTTTGGCTTTCCCTTCCCCAGTGTCCTAGTAAAATTTTAGATAAAAACTGCTCCTCAAGGGGATGGGTTGAATGCAGAGTGAATTTAGTTTTTGTTTTGTTTGTTTTTTCTGTGGGAGTGTTAGCCCAGTCATTAGAGCAGTGCGCTTGTGTTCTAAGAAAGTTGTAAGTACCGGGTTTGATCCCCACAGCCTCTACGCTGGATCCCTGAGCAGGACCTTAACCCCACACTGCTCCCTTTGCACTGTACAGTGGCAGTCCACTGCTCCCCAAGGGAATAGGTGCAGAGAATATGCAGCGATTGAATTTTGCCATTGTGGGACAATAAAGGGACTTCAATTTTTTTACATAAAGCTATGAACATTGACAGCAGAAATGAAATGTTTTATATTCAAAAGTGTTTTGCAAAACTTTAAAGATGAAGTCTAGAACTGCATTTTAATTTAACTGAATTCCAGTATGTTTCTCAAATTACTTTTATAAAACACATTTAAAGAAAATTTCTTTAATGGAGGATATATTTTCTAAAAGCTCATTTTACATATTTTATTTATGTGGAAGTGGAGAACCTGAAGATATTTGCAACAGCCCCATTAACCAAGACCATACTATACCTTCTCATAGTTTTAAAGTCTAAATCCTGCATTCTCTAAAATGAGACAAATTCACAATTAGAGTCATGCATAGGGCACATTAACACACACACTTCCATTTGGAGATTAAATCATTTAACCTTGTCTAACCAAATCACCTTAAAGTTTTACCCACTGGTACTGAAAATCGCAATGTTTAATGGCAGCTAAAATACTTTATATTACTCTTCAAAGGTTTATTCAGCAGTGACAACTCTACAGACTAGCATTTTGCTGCAGTCATAGACCAGAGAAGGTGTATAAGTGGTCTAATTTAAGCTGACATGTAGTAGTCTTTGAAACTTGGTATGCCTTTTCCACCAACAGATCCAGGCAGCTGTAAGGTTTTGCACCTACTGTACCAAAGCCCCCACAGATCACTGCGAAGAGATTAATAAGTTTTATGTGAAAGTCTCCAAATAATCTCCAGAAACACCAGAAGTATTCACTATATATGCAGATAGTCATTGGATAGGGATAAATATTTCTTGAATGTAGCAACAAAGAAACAATGTTTAAAAAAATGGCATAATATCAGCT